CTAGTAGTATGGCCAGGAGCCCCTAGTAGCGTCCTTGCTCCTAGTAGTCCACTTGTGAGGACTTGTCAGGGACCACTGCTGCAGAGCTTCAGGACAGGATGACACGTCGCATCGCTTCATCGCATGTCTCATCGTCTCGAGTGTTCCGCATCCGTTGAGTGCTCCGTCGGATCGTTTGCCAATGATGTTTGGTCTAGACTCATGTCGCACATCAATTTCGGACGCAGTCCGGGACTGCTTGAGAAGGGTTGCTCGGTAGTGACCTATTTCGAGGATGCAGAGTCCATGGCAGCCAGGGCGACCAGCAGGTTGAAGGCCGTTTGGGGGTCCCAGGATGAGCCGGCCGCCGGCGACCGTGACACAACTTCGCTCCAGGAGTGCTGAAAAGAAGGGTCGGAGTCCAGGCACAAAAAGTGGAGGAAAAGAAAGAAAGTTTAAATAAATGAATTAAGTTTAAATAGTTTCTTGTTACTACTAGTAAGGCACCTGTTACTACTAGCGAGGCACTTGTTACTACTAGTAACATCTAGTAACAAGGAAGTGCATGCTAACCAAAAAAGCAGGAAAGAAGACCCTATAGAAGACCCCTTCTTCTAATTTCACTGGCATTTCATGGCATTCCCAGCTCGCCATGAGTCAACCGCCTGGGTCATGTGCCACTCGCGTTTCCCATCTTGCACATCTTCTGCCGAGGCGCAGAAGAGAGCTGCCCTGCTTGCAGCAGAGGCGAGCAGCAAACAGTTTGTTCCAACTAGCACATGACTTTTTACAATGAAAAATCGAGGATTGCGCAGCAGCTCCTCGATGATTTCTGCCGTTTCTCTTATTTGGTTTTCCGGCGTCCAGCCATACATTTCTCCTGTAAGTCCAGCGCGAAGAGGAACCAAATCGATCCCGCTTCGTCGCAGCCGTTTGGGCTCCAGTCGTACCTCAGGTATGACTGGACCCGCGTGGCACCAGCCGAAACGAAGCTATACGACATAAATTAGTCGCCATAGAAACAATGTTCGCTACTAGGAACAAACTAGTAGTAACAAGAAGCTATTAAAAACAATATATGCTACTTAGTAGTAACTACGGAGTATGGCAGCGATCAGCTGCCGAGCCGTGAGCCCCCCCTCTGGGCCTCGAGCCGCTGAGGCACGGCATTTGGCCGCATCCCAAGACTCCTTGGAGGCGGGGAGTCGAGTGCAGAAAAGAAAGGAATCCGCTCAACTCGCAAGGGTGGGTCGTCTACGATGCCAAAATGGTGAACGCTTCTTGCTACGTTCGTAGCTTCTTGTTCCTAGTAAGGCCAGGAGCCCCTAGTAGCGTCCTTGCTCCTAGTAGTGATGCCAGGAGCCCCTAGTAGCGAACATTGTTCGTAGTAGTATTTTTGTTTGTCAAGAAGCACTTTTCATTTTGTGTTCGCTTCAGGCCGAGCTGCAGCGCCAGCGTGATGCCACGAAAGCATGGCAAAGCTGTGGGCAGAGCCCTTCCAGATGGCAACAAGAGCCTCGACGGCGAACTGTTTGGGCTCTTTCGGGTCGAGCAGCGGTCTAGCGGTAACAGACCTCCAAGAGCTTCCAAGTCAAAAAAAGGTCGAAACTACGACGCGGTTGTTGTTTCTTTTTTTATTTCTCTTCTCAAAAAAGGTCGAAACTAGCCGTGTCTTCTCTTTGTGACCGTTTCTCATCCCAAACCGCAACACCCAAAGCGTCACATACCGTAGCTGGGTTGTTGGGCGGTCTAGCTGGCGTTGCTTTGCGCCCGGTGTTGGGAAGGAACTTGGACCTAGAAACGGATGTGTGGAAGTTTTCAATGTGGCTGAAGCTGCACAACCCATTGCACCAGAATCCTGCTTATTCAAGGCCACACTTGTCCAGATGGTTGGGTTTTTTTTTGCAAGTTCAATTCTTCTTCACACACCATCCGTCGCACCTGCGTCTTTCCTGGCTGCCGACCGAACTGCAGGCCGATGAGGCATCCGAGACTTGCCGCTTGCTCGCCTGGAGAAAGATGGTGCACTGTAACAGCTTACTGCTGCACTCGATCCAACACTGTCGCTCTTAGGGAGGCCGCTCTTAGGCTTTGTGTTTGGCTTCATTTCATAGTCACTTCACGCTAGTCACGAGTAGAACACATGCCGTGGCACAGAACCCCAACGTCGTCACGGGGATACCAACGCCAGACGGCGTTCGGTGATTGCATGAAAATGGGCAATTTGTTTCCCTAGACGCTTCTTCCTTTTCGTTCTGTTTGTCCTTTTGATTTTCCTTTGGACCTTTGGACTTCTAGTAACAAGTGCCTTACTAGTAGTAACAAGGACGCTACTAGGAACAAGAAGCTACTAGCTTTCTTTAGACCTTTAGACCGTTTTTGCCTTTAGACCTTTAGACCTTTGGACTCTTTTCATCGCTTTTTCTATTTTCTTTTCTTTTCTTGTGTTCTTTTGAGCTATCTTGGGTGTTTGGATCATTTCGTGACGCCGCAGCTTTGTGCCCAATTATTTCTGGGACGTCGAATTTCCCGCCATGGGGTGCGGGAAAAGTAGGCCTGGAGAACCAGCTTCGACGAGTTGACGATCATCGTACTACCCTTTGCGGAGTTGGCCGCTTCCTACAGCCTTCACCTTACCTAATCCTTGCTCACAACGGGTGTCTTTAGAACAAGAGTAACGAAGGATACCACAGACCTATATTGGGAGCAAAGGGCATCGCTACTAGAGGCAACCGACGTCTTTTCGGTCCACCACTCGTGTCGGTGTTCTTGGCATGTGTCGACAGGCAAGAGCCAGTTCCTCCAGGGCAGTGTCCCTACCTGGCAGGAGCCTCAGGTTGATGGCAGTGTCCTTGCTCCGTTCGTCGCGATGCCAGGAGCCCCTAGTAGCGTCCTTGCTCCTAGTAGTGCCGAACATGGCGACATGATCACCATCACTCTGGATCCATGGCCCTTGGAGTCACAGAGCACAGAGCACAACACGGTGAAGTTTGGACCAGCTTCCATGCCCCACTCCCCCGATGGTGAAACTGCCACAGCACGACATTTGCATCGAGGTGGGAAAACGATATAAAGTTGCTCGGCCCTTGGAGCTTTGGAGCAGTGAGACCTTCGGCTGCAGCAAGTGCATCGCTACTAGGAACAAGTGCCTTACTACTAGGAGCAAGGACGCTACTAGGGGCTCCTGGCCTTACTTCTAGGAGC